TTTGTTAGCCGAGAATCTTAGATTATTTAGATTCGTAGACCCCGACGTCATTTGTTACATCAGTTTATGACACAGCAACAACAATGGTGGATCGACATGGAATGGCAGTAATTAGTATATACCACAACCTCGTTCCCAGGGTCTCTCATCTTACCGCCCCCTGGAGCGAGCGAGGAGAGAGGGGGCGGTAAGATGAGAGACCCTGGGAACGAGGTTGTATAGCCAAGTACTATTCACCTCCGAGCAGCCGAAGAAAAACAAAATGGCTTCCCGTTTCAAATAAAGTTACTCTTAAATAAATAAAGTTACTCTTTGGTCCGCTAGTTATTCAGCTTGTGTGGTATATACTAAAACAATCATTCGCCTCAGTGTCGGTGAAAGTGGTGGATATTTGCCTACACTTCGGTGAATAATTGTTAATTATTATCTCTCTGGGATTTTTCAGTCTAAGTAAACTAATATTTTCTGGTTTCTTTCAGTTGAAGTTAATTTTGTACGTGGCCAAACAAACTCAAAATCCCATGACCGAGCTCCTTTAATGTCTGTGACCTTGAGATAGCCATTGAGAGCAAGCGCTGTTGGGGAAATAATTCTTGCTACGTAACAATTAGTGAAGTTGCGGTGACCTCATGGTTAGTGCGCTCGTCCCGGGATCGAGCGGTCGGGGCTCGAGGCGTGGCTGGGGACACTGTGTTGTGTTCTTGGGCAAGACACTAAACTCTCACAGTTCCTCTCTCCACCCAGGAGTACAAATGGGTACCGGCGAATTGTTGGGGAAACCTAACAAATTGCCGGGAGTGACCTGCCATGGACTAGCACCCTGTCGAGAAATACTCCTAACCGCTTCATGCTACAGAAACCGTGATAAGCTCCAGCAGCTATCAGCCAGTCGGCTCCAAGTCTTCACTTTATGTGATAATTATTCTTACCACAGTTCAGTGAAGCTCTTCTGAAATAATTTTATTTTCAAAGAAACGAGGACTTGGCGACAGGAATAAGCTTCCGTATTTTCCGTACAGGGACGATGGAGAGCTGATACATGAGGCGATATCAAATATGGTCAACGAATACGTCGACGAGTAAGTGGACAGCGACTTGTTATCATTCTATTGAGCTTAACGTAATGATGTTCTAGCCTGTTCTCGCGACGGTGCCGCAAGCTGTCGTGTGCAGACCGGTTGTGTTAAAGTGAGCCCTCACACGTCAAAAAGTATAGCGTGTGTAAATCAGAACATTTGCCAAAATATTTTCGATCACAACTTACTTATACCTGCAAACGTTTTTCGTGTCATGAGCATGAAATTTTCGAGAATTGTCCGAACATATTCGAAGATGTCCGAAGGTTTCCGAGGACTCCCCGAAGATTTCCGAAGTCGCTTCACATTTTCCAGTCCTAGTGTTCGCCAAAAATAACGTCGTGTTTAGTACTTTTTTTAAAAATAGGAGAATCCGAGGAAGTCTACAATCATCTTCGTAAACTTTTCTTTTCTTTCATTTGTTCAATTAAGTTTACATATTTTTCGAAACAGTGCCATTAAGGGTGTGATCGCGCAATATTCTCAGCTAGGCGTTACGAATTGATCGGCAAAGCGCTGGAAGGAGTGAGATCGTAATTTTTGTTCGCCAGGCTTGAGGCTCACGCCTAAGGGGTTAGAGTTGGCAGGTATAACTATGCACTAAAATGAAGCTCAATGAAGATTGTAATACCACCCAACTCAAAATACGTTTTCCGACTGGAGAATAACGTATCACGTGTCACGGTTCAAAACTTACTTACTCTCCAGGGCGAACAAAACTCATTAACTTCTTAGGGAAACAACAACTTGGACTTTCGACTCGCACATGATCAGGCTGTGCACCTTGAAACCGCGGCAACTTTGTGTGCCTGCCCGCTTCAAGAAAACATTTTTTTTAGCAGTATGTTTTATATTTGAGTTGGAAAGTATAACAAAACACTTGATGACTGGCCGCGGGTAAAACAGTGAGTTTCTTTCCCCTCGAACCACAATGTTTCAGGGTCTTGAGGATTGGACCAATTAAAACTCACTACTTCTCTTGGGGCCAGTCATTAAGTGCCTATAGTATAATAAAATGGTTATTGACTAAGTAAAGGTGTTCTGCACAAAAAAATATCTTTTTGGATCTTTTTGCAAAAAATTTCTTCACTTTTGAGCTGGTAAAGCACTGTTTTTCTATTTGTTGTTGAAGGTATTACAATTCACACAAGGATGTTCAGGCCGACTCTGAACTCCAGAATTTTGCCAATGATGTTTCACTGGGATCTGGGAAGGTAAGATTTCTATAACACTCGATCCCTACAAGTGGCCGCGCAGATGAAAACGTGGGAGATAGGGGAGGGAAAAGCTTTCCACGTTCTTTTGCTACTTTGGTTAGCTTAGCTAAGAAGCAACGACTACAACAACAGAAAGCTAAGGAGAGAAAAAAAAAAAAGAAAGAAAGAAAGAAAAAAGAAAAGAAAAACAAAAACAAAAATGATAACGAAACTCGAAACCTCAAGTTACTGCTGGAAATATTTTTCCGATACCTTTTTAAAATAATTCTAATTTCTCGAACTCGGTTAGTCTCGAATTCCTCGCTATTTTGACCTAATTTAAACTGAAGCCAACCTCGCCATCTCCACCACTTCAGTTAGGACAGTTGTAGAGTCCACGAGGCTGCGCCAACTTTGTTATTTTAGCCTCAGCTGTTTACAACTCTGACATTTTACAGATGCATTTAATACTGTACAGGGTATGTACTTGCTGAAGTGTGTATAATTTGACTTCAGATGTGTAGAACGCAACAATTATTGATTGTTTTATCGAACTGCATCCTTTTTTTTTTTGTTTGTTTTTTTTTACAAACGTGTGCCAACCTCGTTTCATCCTGTCCTCGGACACCTTAGGGTAGCTAGCTGGGGTAGGAGTGGCACGAAGTAAGTCTTTGGTGGGTTACTTCTTGATGCCGTTCCAGCTGACTGCCTCTGGATGTCCGAGGATGACACTGTTGTTAATTTCAAACCCAATTTTTAATTTCTCTTGAGAGCTCGAGATAGAGGGGTCCAATTGTAATAATTTTTATCGGGTCATGCCATTTCTCTTTCTCTAGTCCCTATGCTCGTCTTTTAACTTAATTTAAACACGTTCGTCTCTCTCAGGTGAAAGACTTTCCTGGTAAAATAACTTCCAAATGGAGTCTAAAAAAGCACTTGACTCGCTTCATTTGGGCGACTAGTGCCCAGCACAGCGCCGTCAACTATCCTGTGGATCACAGTGGAGCTCTGACGCTCAACATGCCGAGTAAACTCTACATCGACGATAACGCGGGGGCTGGGCACTACGGCTTCAACAACCTCCCCAGGAGAGAGACATGTGGGGTAGGTACCTCCGTCCCCCACACCAGGGGATCTCCCACAGTCCCCTAATAAGCAATGTGCACGTACTTTAACTTACTTCAGTCTTAAAATTGAACTGTATGAATTGAATTACGTACGCCGAGGAGCGTGCGCCCGGACCTATCCTTTATTTCTTTTTGGATTGGATGTCCATTCAACTAGCCTTCACGAAGTTGAGAAGCTGTTAGTACCGGTGGACTATGCCCCTTTCGACGATGGATTCCCTTGTTTATCCATCAAAAAGTTTCGTTCGCGCACGATTGGTCTGAGCGTGTCACCTGACTGAATATACCCTGAATATACCAAATTGACGTCAAATTTTACGATAACAAATAGTTAAATTGTCCGCTCTCGCTCTTTGACGCATCGCATAAATTATAAAATCATGTGTCAGTCCACTTATTGACAATGAAAATTAGCCAATCAGCGCGCGAGACTCTCTGCAATTATCGTAAAATATAGAAATTGAAACTCGGAAGTGACTTTGTTAGCAATTAGTTAGCGTACTATAGTTTCTGCGTGAAAATTGTTAGTCTAGGATAGGGTAGGGTTTACTCTAGAATAGGGTTGCAAAATCAAACTAATCATGGTCCCAGCGGCACACCCCTACCCAAAGATTTACAGAGTATCCTCCCCCCCCCCCTGGAAAATTAGCAAACACACTCTCTCATTTCTGGTATGCGCTATTTACCACGACAACTTGTGTTATTGGTCATATCACGTAACAAGACGGGCAAGTGTGCAGCTTCGAAAACTTCTACGCTAACACGTTTTTTTTTATGTTTGTTCTAGCGTCAGGCGGCGCTATCGATGACTTTGGCAGCCATGCATTACGACTCTCTTTTTGACTTCGTTTTTCGTGTTCCGGATAAGAAAGGAAGATTGGTTGTCCAGAAGTATTACAACTACTTGCATGGTTATGTTACGTCCACCATTTCGCAAAGGAATGTGAAAAGATTCAAGGAAGGCCACTTGCCCTATCCTTATTTCCTACCAGCCTGGATTGCTAACAGTATTCACACTTAAGCATCGAAACTGCCTGCTCTAGTCTAACGGCCTATCGAAAATGGACTTGGATTCACTTGAAAAACAAAAACAAAAATACATCGGTGTTTATTCAACTTTTTTTTTTCTCAAATTCGCTCGTGATACCTTTCAATTCCTAAAGAAGCTCGGCATTTTCATTTAGTTTCAAAGATGTATTTGGGAGCAAAAATACATTTATTATTGGTAGGTATTGTTACGTTTTGTTGAATATTATAAAAGGATATAAAAGACTTGAAAATGATCCTTTGCTGTCAAAATTCTCTGCGGGTCCTGTAGAAATCTACCTGTTTCACTTCATGTATGTTCCGTTAGTAAAAGATAGGAAAAGAAGTATTGTCTTTATACAAATTTACCAAAAAATCCCTTGATATTTAATTATTTTTCTGTGTTTGTGGTACATTGGTTAACATAGCTAATTATCGTCGAGAATGCTATAGGCCACATTCGTATTCTCGGTATTGGACTGGAGCTAGCTTGCAACCGAGGCTAATGCGGGAGTCTTTTCAAATGCAAATGAGCCTCCATTGCAAGCTAGTTCCAGTCCTATACATGGGGATTCAATTTATAACTGCCCATTGAATTTAATTTTAAAACAGGCAATCGTGTTGTACAAGCAGCCCCTGTATATTGACTAGCAAATCAATGTAAGATCATCGGCTGCCTTCACGCCTCCTGATATCTGCCTGCCAGTTCTTTAAGCTCCTCATCAGTGGTCAGAGCTTTATCCTGAGACAAATCTTTGTGCCCAGGTTGCAGATCCCACTCTCTCTCCAACTTGGCGTGGGCTGAACTCAGAGGGCGACCGCTCGCGGGGTTTAGATTTTCCCAGTGGCTGCGTCTTGCCCTGGAAAAATAAGGAATAAATGTTTTTGTCACTAAATGCTGAACATTTCTGTTGTTAGAACTGATTCTAATAATCAAACTGAATGTTAAGTTAGTGCAAGTCCATATTGTGTGTACCAAGACATCTTGAAATCACAAAGGATGTAACACCGTTTAGCTACAAGTTGTTACGTTTTCTTCATAATATGCATGATGAGGCCATCTTGCACAAAAACTCCCTTTCTTTTATTAACTGGCAAGTTTTACTAAAGAACCGTTTGAAACTATAAGAAAGATATTCTTCAGACACAGCTCAACAGTAAGACCTCTGGGACATACATTGTACCTTGCTCAGCATCTCACGGGTAGTGCTGCCCCAGAGAAGTCTCCTCAGTGAATGCTTCTCAATTAGGTATTGAGCTGTTTTCAGCTCTACCCCTGGGATGTAGCTTGCCTGTCCCTAAATCCTAGGGAAGTATGTTACCAGAGGGCTCCTCCCCACAATTTATGCTTCACAGTGTCAGTGGTTATCTGTCCGGCTTTCTAAGCTATACCCTTAAGATATTAGCCTACCTTGTCCTTTCCCACGGATAAGTATGCTACCGGAGGACTCTTCCCCACAATTTATGCTTAACATATCGTCAAAGGTTATTGATCTCTTTCTAAGCTATACCCCTGGGATATTAGCTTACCTTGCTCTTACCCACGGGTAAGTATGTTGTCGGAGGGCGTCTCCCCAAAAGCCGTGCTTCTCACTAGCCGGAGGCAATTTTCCACGTTCTTTTGCAAGCTGGAAAACATAGAAGTAGCTAGTGTTAACTTTGGTTATGTCAGTCAAAATCTTCATATTTATAGGCACTCAGTTATATAAGATTCAAGCTTGACTCATTGCAGTAAAATATAGAACACTCATGGCAGAAAGTGATGTTTTCTATACCTCCTCTGCTATGGCCCTGACATGATAGGGCTCGAATCCACAGCATGCTCCAATGTATCTTATTCCCATATCGTAAGCCTCGCGTGCGTACTTTTGAACGTCCCAGCGACTCATCAGACGAGATTCAAGAGCTGAAATGGGAAATATGACTCACAAGAACGTAAAGTAACGTAACGTAACGTGACGTAATGTAACGTAACGTACCATAACGTAACGTTTAAACAGTACCGTGAACTAGCGGTATTTATAAGTACAAGATGAAATTCTGTTGTTAAGGTATGTATCTGCTATTAGCATTGCGGAAGGCTTAGAAATCGTTAATCTGGTATTATTACTGCCTTTCATAAGAACATCCTTGAAAAACAAAAAGTTCAGAGTTTAAATCCACATTGCTGATAGACGCGGTGGTCTCAGGATCGAGTGGTCCTGGTTCGAGCCCTGGCCGAGGTCACTGAGTTGTGTTCTTGGGCAAGACACTGTTACAGTTCTTGTCTCCAGCCAGGGGTAAAAATGGGTACCGGCGAATGCAATGCTGGGCCAACCATGGGATGGACTAGCATCCCATCCATGGGGGAGGGAGGGGGGGGGGGAAGTAGAAATACCTTCATCGCTTCCAGCCACTACATGTAACATGACATGACACCACGTTACGGTACGCTACGTTGCGTTACGTTACACTATATTACATATAAACTAATTATAAACGGTCATACCATACCAAACGGGAATTCAGGGACGCCAGACAATCCAATACGGTCATATGTCAGCTCGGGAGTATGATAACAGATAGGCTGTATTATGAGATGGCGATTGAGACCTTCTTTTTCCAATGCAGCCTTCATTTCTTTCACGACAGCTAGACAAATGCTGGGATCAAAACAGCAATTCACTCCCACAATATCAGCGCCTGGAAAAACAAACCAAACAAAAAAGGAAAAGAAATTCTATTTCTTGTATAGTTCTATAGTTTTTTTTTTTAAGTTTTTGTTTTTTTATTTGCAATAACACAAGGGAATACAATGCTTACGATACAATTACGAACGGTACACTATTTAGACTACTTACAGCACTAGCTCTATTTACATGATATTGCACTAATTATTTACACTATTCAAATTACAATATCTACACGACTTACAGTACACTACCAACAACTACAGTGACGACAAGGGGCAAAGAAAAAAGATGAAGAAAAATAGATAATTATCATTACAACTTGAGGTTGTACTATAGAGACATCAAAAACAGACCAAAGGCATGTGGTATATTGTAGATAAAATGAGTTATGCACCTGACAGGAGATTAGCAACTAAATTACAATTGACTTAATTACAAGATTTAATCAAGCTTTCAGACCTAAATTATTTACTTATTCAAGTTTTCAGAAAACATCATAAGTTTATTGAAAAAAAAGAAAATCAAAAACAAAAAGAAAATCGAAACCAACCCTACTGTCTAGCAAGCAGATATGTCAAGTTTCTGCTCTTTGATTGGCCGAGAACTGTTAGAAAACCAACAGAAAACATGACGTCACATTCTCAGTTAGGAATTCAAGTTGGGTGCTAGAGACTTTTCACGAGCGGTTTCAGGATTCGCTCAAGTCTACCTAATGACCCGAAGCATCCCGTTGCACGCGAGAGAATTAAGCTCTGGTACTCAGGGTACGATTGTAGAGATCTGAGCTCCGATTACCCACACGTACCCGCGCGAGCAACCCGCACAGCACATTTTCCAGGCAGAACTCCATTCATATGCTCCAGCGAGGCTGACAGACAGACACACAGCGACTGGTTTACCTGTGGCCTTCATCACCTCTGTGGCCCATTCGGCTCGCTCGGCATATCTGAACAGCTGAAAAATCAGGAAAGTTAAGCCGTGAAAAGGGGGAGGGGGG